TACATATATAAATATATATATATATATATATATATTAAATTATACGCGATTTACTCACGCGCGGCGACGCGACAAAATAGGTGTTCTCCGTAGGCAAAATCGATGTTCTGGACGTGCCGGTGCAATCCGTTTTGTCAGCTGGGGTCGCTCGGACGACGTCGTCGATAATCGGGTCAAAAACAAAATTTCGACCCGCGATCGATCGTTTGAAAAGGTTTACTTGAGCCTTCGACAGATAACAGTGCAAGCGATGCGAATCATGACAATCAGATGTGTCGACTCTCCGAATTGCTAAGTTTCGTGCGCGCGGGAGTGCGAATTGTGCAGAAGGCCACCCTAAGGCTTAGAAATGTCCTATAGGAATTCCTTTTGGGTTTACTCATGTCGGTTTCATCCTTCTAAGTGCTAATGCTAGAAGTTAACACCACACACGCGAAACCACAAAAGAGGACAGAAGTAGGTCGAACTTCTAACACGAGGCGGGTCCCATTTCTAAGGTTCTAAGATAGTCAAAGGGAGATCCCTAAGGCTAAATCCTAAATCCTAAGAGAAAGACTAGACCTCACCAAAAATGAGGTCAACAATAACTCAAATATTTTCCAGAAAATTTTCTTGATCTTGCTGCACTTGTCTCTTTTCTCCTAAATTAGGGTTTAAATTAAAAGTTTTCTGCTTTCATTATGTGAAGCCATCTCTTAATTCATTTTTTTTGTATTCTTATTAGTCTGCTTTACAATGATTTGATTGGGTGTCTGAAGCTTTTTCTTATCTCCATATTTTTTTGCTTTTTTAAATATTAATTGTTTATTAAATTATTTGTGTTTTCAGGTGAACCAATAGTTGTTTTTATATTTAAGAATTCCGGACTATATCCAAACGTAATGTTGCTTTCTTCTCCTTCTGCAGGAGCAAGTTTTTTCCAAAGAAGATGCTTTCTTTGCGTGGACATTTATGAAAAGAAGGGCTCTATGGCAAACAATTCTTTCATTTCTTTGGCCATTAGTAGCTCTAGCGATGTGCTTGTTTCCAGTGTACCCATACCAAGTCAAGATAGTTGTCTTGTACTCATGCGCTGGAGCTCTGCTTCTTATTATAACTTTGCTCTCAAGTAAGTTTGGGAAACTTCAGTTTCTTTTTCCTCAAAATAGTTTTCTCATCTATTAAGATTGAGATAGAGTAAATAAATAACTCCCTTTCAATCACAATAACTAAGGGGCTTTTGGAATCACTTTTGTTTTTATTATTTATTATTTATTTTGTTTTATTTGGTAGAGATAGACCTAAATAAACTTGGGCATATTGTATAAAAAATGATCTTAATCTATTAAAATTAAATGAAAATACGACGCTCAATAGGACATAATGGAGAAAAATGATTCATGTAGCCAAACCCACTTAGTGGGATAAAGGTTTGTTGTTGTTGTATTTTATTTTGTTTATGTTTTGATTTAAACTAAAACATAATTGATTGAGCAAATTATTTTTAAAAAAATATTCAAAACATCTCTTATGTGTTTTGAGTGTTTTAAAAAATAAGTTGACTTGTTTTTTAAAACAAAAAATAAAAACATATGAAAATTATACCAACCAAACATATTTTTAAAGGAGAAAAAAAAAATAAATAGAAGTGATGCCAAATTGGCCCTAAATGATTATATTTTTGTATGATGAAACATTTCACATGCAAAAGTCCAAGTCTGTCAATTATCTATAGCTCACTAATTCTTGCACTGTGCCAAATGTTGATCCATAAGCAGCCTTGTTTCTAGTATTCCTCTTTCACTTATGTGTTGAAAGTTTTTGCAGCCCACCACTTACTGAATTTATCTAATACTTGTTGATTAGCTAACATATTTCTTCCAGATTTCTCTTTTACTTTCAAATTGTTTCAAAAAATTTCGTGCTTATGCATTTAAAGGTATTTTCTTGACAACAAAGGAAAAAATTCTCTTTTCTTTTGGGAAAAGTGGTGTGCCAAAATATAAATCACACACGCATTTGCTAATCTTTAAACCCTACCCCTCTTAGATGGGCTCTCAATCTATTAGCCTAGGGACAGATTTCATGGGGAAAGATTTCTATCTATTTACGAGTGCCATGAAGGTATACTAATACTAATGTATGTTCAGCTTATTAGCTCAAATAAAAGGGAAATTAACACCGATGATAAGCATTGAAGTTATATGCAGACATCTTTAGTTCAATTCCCTGAAATTAGACAATGCCAGATGACATATAACTGAAATATTGAAGTATGGTAGCCCTGGGAGAATTCTATAATGTTGAAATTAAACTTTGAATTCTACATGGATGACATCGGCATTGAGAGAGGCCTGAACAAACAAGGGTAATGAAGTATGTTTGATAAATGTGTGGTTAAAATGGAAGATTAGTGGATTTGTACATGCGCAGTGGAGAACTAAATCCATGATCTGGTTTCATATATTCGAGTTAGAGGAGCAATCAGCAGTATTGATGATTTAAAATCAAATATCGCCTTGATGTTTTAAGTTTGATCTCTTGAATGTCTTGCACAAAAAATGGGACAAATGAAGATATTAAAGTAGAATATATTAAAGTTGGTCACATATAATTTGATATATTGATTTGATAGATTTAAGTTTTTTTGATTTGTATAAATCTGAATATTGGGTTATAAAGTCATTGACATATAAGCTGGGTGTAAGAAATGCAATCTTTGGATGAGCGTGTGACAAAATTAGGAAAGATAAATTAATGAATGATTACATTGAAAGAAATGTTAGAATGACATCTATTAAAGACAAGATGATTGAAAATATGCTTTAGGCAGTTTAGCTATGTTTGATGAAGGGTAGAAAATATGCTCATTTGATAAATTGATATAATTATTGCCAAAAGGTTATAAATGAGAAGGGGCAGACCCAAAGGTTACATAATTAGAAGTCGTTCAAAATAATTTGAGGAATACCTTAAAACCTCCGATATTACTTATGAATGAAAAATGAGGATTCATAACAGCAAGCACAAATTTTTGGAATAAGGCAAATGATGATGAAGAAGAAGATGCCCATATTCTACTCTTAAATAGAAAGAAAACTAATTGGATTTTCTAAAGTTAAATTTGGTGGTGGGAAGGGGGCTGCTGATGACGAAAAAAAAATAAAGTCTTGTATGGCTTGTATTTAATAATGAAATAACATCATTTAGAATGTCAAGGAAGACATTGTCTAGGCTCGTTGTAATCTATTGTCTTATGAACATTTTCCTAAACTTTTTATTTTATGTCTTGTTGACTTGTTTGCTTTGACAAAATTTTTCCACAATTAATGCTAGGCTGAAAATAAGTTCATTTAGAAAGGTTTCTAAGATGTAAACTGTTCATTTTTGAAGTATTAGTTTATATTGGTTTGTAGTTGCTTTAACTGTTAAACGCCTTTAATTTATCCAAAGAAAAAACTGGTCCTACTTTGACGTGGTCAATTTTCCTTCTGAACCTTTCATTAATGATTGGGAAAGTCTAAAAAACTTACAGCTTCATTATAACTTGCATTTCAAAGTTGCCGGAAGGTCAAAGCCCTATCATCTAGATATTTGTTTTTTGGCTTGCCCTCTTGAATTTGGGGTTTCGTGACATGTAATTATTTTTAAAATTGATTCTGGTTGGGTGATGTTTGATGCTCGATATAATTTGTTTAATCTGAGAAATCAAGACAAAATATTAAGGAAAAATTCTCATAGTGGTTTGTAGTTGCTTTAACTATTTAATGCCTTTAAATTATCTAAAGGAAAAAATTGCCCTACTTTTACTTAAATGGTTAATATTACTTCTAAACCTTTCATTAATGATTGAGAAATTCCAAGCAACTTTGAGCGTCATTATGACTTTCTTTTCAAAGGTGACACAAGCTCGTGCTATTATCTAGATAAATAGTTTGTTTCTGGCTTACTTTCTTTATTTTGACATGGAAAATTATGAATATTTCGGATGTACAGACTCAAGAATTGCAATTATATTTCATTGCTGAACTTGATTATCGTTGGACATATTTGACGCTCATTAATTGTCACGTAATGACTTGTGGCTTAGAATTAATCAAGATAAGAACAGACGATTGAACGGTGGGAATAAAGTTTTTCATATTCATCTCCAATTTAACAGATGAAGGAGCCACTAACTAAATTAAATTAAAACAGTGAAATTATATTTACCTCGTTAATGGTTGTTCACATTTTCTATAAATATTATTCTCTTCTTTCGTTTTTCTTTTAATTAATTAAATTAACCTGAAAAGTTAGTTTAAGTCTGTGAATACTCAATACTTATAAATTGCAGCAATACAAAGAAAAAATAAAGTAAAATACATATCAGTTAAACTTTTAATAAATCAGTATAAGTGTTTAACATGTTATTTAATGCATTACTATATCAATATCATTCTATACATGTACAACCGTCACATGAGCACTATCTAAAAATTATACCACTTGAGGTACTTTCATATCAATATCCTTTTCATATACGTGTATGGATATATTAGTGTTCCCCACTAGTACTATGAAGGGATGACTATCATATGCACATACAAACAATCAACATAAACATATCATTCATGTATTTATCGAATTCAATTCAACATACTATATTAAATATACACAAAATCATGAGAATATAGCTACAACATTCATAACAATATAACCGATAAAGAATATTTCAATTAGAATAAAACATGTGAAAGTGTCATTAGCAGCAAAATAATTAAGAAGAAATAAATTATTACTATAGATTAAAAACATGAGCACTCATTTCGATGTGAATTAATTTGTTATTTTATTTGCATTGACGTAGACTCTTTTAAAATTGTAAGTCTAAACACGAGTATTCATATTACAAAAATTTAATTAGTTATCATTTTAATTAGCTATTAAATTTACATTATTTAAGTATTAAATCTTCATTATCTTTCTTTATGAAAACCTAATTAATTTTATTTTGTTATTAAAATTCATTAATTTATAATATAAACTTAAATTTTTCTTGTCAAAGTTTGCTCAGGTCAATCTTCCTCTAGCTTGCACAATTCACCATCTTTATTCCCCTCCAAGTGTTAAATAATAAAATTTTTTATTAATATTACATTATATATATAAAATATATTAATACGAAAAAGATACGGAAATATTCTACGAGAGGACCTAAAAGAAAGCCCAGCTCGTGCAATACAACACACACAAAATCCAGATAAAACAAAGATACAAAAATGTAAAAAACCAAAAAGCCACAAAAGGACACAAAAGTGCTAGGGACGTACTACTTTAGTCCTTTTGCCTCCAATTTTTTGAAGTGAGCCAGCTAACAAATTGGTAAAGTGTGTACCATTGTTCGTAGTAACCAAAGTATCATCCATCAGATTCTAAGCTCAAGTAGATCTTCATTCTTCTTTTTTCTCCTAGATGTGTAAACCTGTCATTCCACATTCGATGATTGACTCATCTGATCAGTAGATTCCAAAGGTGGTCGGATCGGTGTATGTCGTTGCACGTTTTGATCCCCATGAGCTTGAATAATATTAACATTTTTTTGGATCTGATGAGACAGTTGTGAAGTAGTAGAAGTATTTCCACCTGTATTATCAGTGATAGGTTCTAAGGCAGACGTGGTCTGAAGAAACTCCCTCTCCCCCACGATAAGAGGTTCCAAAGACGAGGGAGCTACAACTGGGGATTGAATAATTGTCATTTTGTCTGCCTGATCAGGAGGAAATAGAATCATAGCCTCTAACAGAACAGTTTGTTTTTTTAGTCTGAGTTAGGGGTATAGATGGTGACATCGAGAACTGGAGTGTCTGAACATACGACAGTTCGAACAATACGATGGAAAATGTTCAATCTCTACCTTCTGCCAATATCCATGGTGTTGTGTGCCCAACCAGATTTCATCAGAAGCGGGTGAAGTGATACAAGTACTCTGACTTTATAAGGATGAGACAGATTAAAAGTAAGAATGTCCGTCTTGAGTGGCTTCCGATAAGCTGAAACAATAAAGTACAATACTTTTTGAAAAAAATAATGAAATTTCATACAAGAGAGACAAATCCAAGTCGGAATGATTGACGATTCCGTCTGTGG